ACCTTTATGTGAATCGGTTTGCTTTAATTTTATTTTAATTTCAATTTAATTTATTTTTAATTTTTTTCGGCGCACTGCTGATGATGTCAGGTACGCGCTTTCGTCGAGCGCGCTTTTGTCTACCGCGGTTTTGTGGTGGAACCGGTAACTGCGTTCCATGTGCCTTCAGCATTTAGTCATGCCAGACACATGATCACGGAGATGTCTTTGGACAGCGCTGGCTCTTTGGCTTTGAAACGGAGATGAGCACCACTCCCTAGAGTCAGGAATGACTAGTACATATGTGCGAGGTGAACCTTTACCTTTAAAGCAGTTACAAAGTGTCATAAAGCATTTCCGGTGCTGGTGTTTGACTGTGCTATATAGTTCAACATCGGCTACTTGAAAGGCTAATCCATCTTCAAATGTATCCCAACTTTTTCAATGAAGGAAGTACAATAGAAGCTATGCCATTATTAAAAGCATTGAGGAATCTGGTAAGGAAATATCTCTGAAATGATGTCCCAATGAGGGCATAGGTTATCTATTTAAATATCTAAAAGGTTACATTTAAAAATAGGCAAAAAAATTGCAACCAAAACAAATGAGACTTTTTCAATCCCCCACTTGCTAATTGTAAGGGGAGGTATATGCCTGATTATTTTCTACTTATAACAACTAAACTTATTTTATATTTTACTAATCACCATTAGTTGGGAGTAACACAATTTTATTTTTTACAAGATGTATTTATTTTTTGTATTAGTATAGGAACAGAACCTAATAACAAATTAATAGGTGGAACTATTATATTTTTCTATTTTTTTTAAAAAAAATAACCCAATTTTTAATGTGTGTGCTGCTGAATCTCAGTTGGATGCAGGAAGAACTACGGAATAGGAAAGGTAGAAAAGGGAATATGGAACAGCTATGCTAAAAGCAAAAATGGCAATAAATAAGCCTTGTAGATTATAAAGGCTGTCAAATTCATTATGCAATAAACATACAATGTGGGCAAAAAATTAATCCTCGTGGTGGTGTTCTTTTTGGAAAGAGTTGTATTTCTGCTTTTCTCGCTACTTCTCCCTCTTGGCTACATTTCTGTCAATAGGGCTTCTCTCCTTATTTTCCCAGGGTTTTTTTTTTTAAAGAAAAGCTCTGCATCCTTCTTCCTTATTATTTCCCATTTTCTTCAGCATCTTTATTATTATTCATCTGAGTGCTTATCGGTGGAGTGATGGTGCAGGCACACAACAAGACTTGATATGTTATAAAGATCTCTGATTTTTTTCCCACCAGGAAGAAAATCAACCAGAGTACCTTTGAGGCAGACACAGAAACAGAATTCTCCCATTTGGGCTACCTGCAACTGAAGCAGAGGTAGTATTCAACCGGTTCGGACCGGTTTACCCGAACCGGTAGCGGAAATCATGGGTGGGCTTGTCCACCCACCCTGGCTCTATGCCATCCAATTTAGGCATGTTTTTGAGGCCAGGCGCATGCGCGAAGGCGCACACACGAGCAAAGCAAAGTCTCTGGAATGAGCTGTCCCTGGAGCTTCATATAATCCCNTTAAGAAATTCAACCCAGCGGCAGAAGAGCTGGTAAACAGAAAAAAAAGGAAACTCCGTTTTGCCAACCCGAGTCCAACATTTTAACCACAATATCAAATTTAGCTTTCCTAATTATATACAAATTATAAGTTCCAAGTAAGACACATGATGCTTTCTTCACCCCTTGAAATCTCTGCAATTCAATCAGTTTGGGGACTTATTTTCAAGAAACACAGCTACTGCTGGTATTGCTAGAGATATAACAATCTACCAGTTTGACTGAAGCAGTGACCTTAAGAATTTCTGTTGAAAAGTATCATTATCCAGGAGACTAGAATAGTGTAGCCATTATGGTATAGTACTGCATCAGGGGGACCCAAATTCCAGTCCATCCCCAGCCACAGAAAAGCACTAGGTAACTTTGGGCCAGTCACTAGCATTGGCCTATCTCTCAGTCAGAAAAGTAATACAGGTAGTCCTCAAGTTATGACCAGAATTGAACCCAGAATTTAGGTTGCTGCATGAGAAATTTATTAACAGAGTTTTGCCCCATTTTATGACTTTACTTGCCACAGTTGTTAAGCATTTGTTAAGTTAACAGCACAGTTGTTAAGTGAATCTGATTTCCCCAGTCACATTGTCAGAACATCGCAAAAGATTATCATATAACACCGGGACACTACACTCATCATAAATAGGAACCAGTTGTCAAGCATCCGAATGTAAATCATGTGACCAGGAGGACACTGCAACAGTCATAAGTGAAAAATGGTCATTAGTTACTTTATTCAGTGCTGTTGTAACTTTGAACAGTCACTAAATGAACTGTTGTAAGTCAAGGATCACCTGTAGGTGTGCATAACCCACTTTGACTGTGCCTGCCACATATAACAATAACTTCATGCTATCCAATTGTCCTGGAGTACAAAGCAAAAGAAAAGCATGCTTTGGCTTTCACCATCAATTCAATTCCTGCTCTATCATTATTAACTTGGCTTCAACCACTGGAGAAAAAACTAGCAGGTAAAGGAAGCATGTTTTTCCTGAATCAAAGAACTTCAAATAAATATTCAAAATGAAGGGGTGAATGAATTTACATGCAAGGCATTAATTACTCCTATATTTGATGATCTAAGCGCCGTTGAAGAAATTTGGACTGCAAATCAGAAATCCTTGAAATGGGTCATTCTGTACTTACTGTACATTGAAATTCCACTGCATGGAAATTCGTTAGTTACATTTTGGATGCGTGAAATATTGTGTCATACAGCACGGTAATTATAGTGGAGTTAGGAAACCAACATTTGATTTGCAAAAGGCATTTTTTTTATTCGTTCATAAGCACTGAAATATTTGTTAAAGCAGTCAGTTTTGCCTTCAGCATGTGAAACTTCACGCACCTTGCAAGAGCCTCATTTTGCTTTTACTAAAAGCATAGTTTATTTATTTACTAAACTCCCCGAGAACTCATGGTGATAAACCCCGACACCAATCATTTACATCAAAGTGTTGAGGCTGATCTAAATGTGTGAAGCTGTTTACCCAGTGAGAAGCACTTAGCTATTGCACTTCATCTGAGAAATATGTAACATGGTGTTTTGTCTTCCCGTGAAATCCCATAGACATAATTAATTAATTAGCGGGATAATTAATACTCAAAGGGATTATGCCAATGTCTGTCAAAAGCTTATCAGTTAAAAAAATAAATAAAGATGCCTTGGGGTTATGCAGGACTACTCATGACTACACTGACATTTACAAAGTTAGATAAAAATTATAAGTTGGAAAAGGAATAGAATATCTTCTCTGGGAATTCGGCAATCAACAATCCAATAAAGAATCTTTAAAATACACACACACACACACACACACACACAAAATATTATATCCAATCTACTTACGATTGCTGTTGGGGTTGCAGCCAGTACACAGTAGAGGATAAGAGGGGAAATGAAGCTTTCATCCTCTGCCCCTGGATACGGTTTCATCAAATTGCTGTCTTGGCAGAAGAAGCCTTGAATATGCACCTGGAAAGTGTCCGTGCACTCGAAGTAGTAGGCGAGCAAGACCGTCCCAGCCATAATAATAAGCTGAAAATACAGCATGGCGACAACGAGACATTAGCAGCTGCTCAGCATTTATGCCTCTGACAATTGCCACCCTTCATTCTCACTGCCACCATCTACTCAATATTTTCCTGCTACAGCTATTATCTACAATACTCTCTTGTAATCCCCTTCGCTTCATTCTCACTGCCACCATTCCAGCAGCAATGCCCACATCGGTGCAGGAATGCACTGGGATGATTGCCTGCCCTCTGGGGCACTTCTTTCATAAATCGCAAAGTAACTCCCCCTTCTACTCCCAGGAAAGTTTTGGAACTACAAAGCACCTCGCAAAAGGACAGGAGGTACAGCCCCTGACTTAGTCCAAAGTGTGTAGTTGTTACCGGCAGTGTGGATCAATGCAAATGAAACGGGGCAGCCCTGAACAGGGTATACATCCTATCAGTTAAGAAATCTGGGCAAGAATAAACACTCTCCACCCCACAAGGTCGACAAAAGCAACATATGGATGGAAAAGAAACCTCGGGGGGGGGGGGAATCTAGTGAGATTTACTCTGGAGGGTGCATAGTAACGTAGCCAAGGAGTTTCGTAAAGAAGGGAAGCAAAACAGTGACACTGACAATCCTCTGCCGTTCTCTCTCCACCTACTTCCTATTTTTAGCTTTCTAGAGAATATGCCATATTTTGGGTTTCAATTCTTTTGGAGAGGGGAAGCATCTTACTGTTGTACTCAGTTTTGTTTCTTTATCATTTTATTTATTTTTAAACCTGTTTCCTGTCCATTTTGCCCATCCTGATTGAAATGAGTCTAAAGGAGAACATTTGAGATATTTCAGCTAATTTGGTTTGGAAATTAGTCAACTCCTTCCCCCCTGCCGCCATGGAAAGTACTATTGATTTATTTCGGGATTTTTAAAAAAGTGATTGATTGTTTAATGTATTTGATTTATGTCTTCCCTTTTCATCCAAGTAGGATGATCAAATTAACAGTATAATAAATTAAAAGCAACAAAAATTATTAACATGCATACATACAAATAGGATGATCAAATTAACAGCATAATAAATTAAAAGCAACACAAATTAGTAACTTGCATATATACAAATAGGACGATCAAATTAAAAGCAAGACAAATTATTAACATGCAACACAAATTATTAATATGCAATGTGCATAAAATAGTTTAACAACATCCTTTAAGAAATTCCTTTCTCCTCATGCAGTTTGTTCAAAGCTTCTGGCAGGTCATATTAAATAATTACAAGGCTCACTTAATGCCAATCTCATTCAGAAAAAAATAATAATTACAAAGTAGTAAATAAAACAATGGAAGAAAGGAAGCAACAGGAAGAGAGGAATTGATCAGAAATCCAACTGAATGAATTTGTCAATGCTATAAAGAGGCTCTTAATGGAGGCGCAACTGACACAGCACTTAACGGAGGCGCAACTGACACAGCACTTCTGCTGATGCCTATTATTGTCTTCCTGACTGAGAATAAGATACTGTAGGATGTCTTTCAAAAGCAAAACACAGATTTCTCAAAGAGGTGTGAGGTTCACACCCATGGGAAATGTTAAAATATCTGTTTGGATACAACTCTGCCAAGCAGAATCCTTACAGGAAATTCTTAACTTGTCTTATTGGCAACATTCTCCTTTGGATCTTAGAATAAAACACAAGAGACTAGCTTCTTTTGACTTGACATACTAGCCATTGTGGAAGATGAAGTTGAGAAGTGGAAACCAAAACACAGAAGACAAATGACAACGTAAAAGGACAAAATGTTTGGGTTGACAAAGACATGCTTTCAAAAACAACAGTCAATTTGGTCTAGTGGTTAGTGTTGTATATTGTGTGTTGTGAGAGGGGAANTTTTTGGATACTTTATTTAATTTCCTTTTTAACTTTTGTAATATGTGGTTTTTTTAAATGTTGTATGCCGCCCAGAGTCCTTTGGGAGAAGGATGGCATATAAATCCAATAATTAAAAAAAAATGTGCGGAAGGCCGGGCATGAAGCCGGCAGGTGTGGGGCGAACAGGTGATCACAAAATGTGAAACTCACTACTGAACTGGAAGCGTGAAAAAGACATCACCCCACCAACTTTTATGTGATTTCCAGACATATAATGATGCTGCTGGGTAGTTTTTTGCTAAAGTTTCCAAAAGATAGAATAGAATACTTTATTTGGCCAAGCGTAAATAGACACAAAAGGAATTTGTCTCTCGTATAGAAGCCCTCAGTGTCCATGCAAAGTAACATAATAATGATAATAATAATAATTATACTACTACTAATAATGATAATCATAATATAAAGAGTTGTACAACAGGAAGTCCCAAAGAAACAACATTTCCAAATAAATATCTATGCTTACATTTAGTTAGTCTTGTCTTCTATGCTGTCTCTTCTCTTCTAACAACCTCCCCTCCTTCCAATCAGGTGCACCATCAATTCCTAACTGCCGCTTTCTTCAGACTCTATTGGTTACTATTTATTTAGATTATATCTAGCCTTTCATTCATGAGATTCATGTGGTGTACACAGCTCTCTTGCCTACAATTTTTGCTCACAACAAATCACCTGGACTGAGAAAGAGCTAGCAAAGTCACCGAGTGAGCTTCCATGCTTAAGGGCAGACTGGTCCCACTTTCTAGTCCAACATTTTATTTTTATTTTTTTGTATATATTTTTTTATTTTATACACATAAGCACATCAACAGAACACATAAACACATTAGCAAAAATAACCACATAATTTAAAAACAACATAGTAACAATAAGTTCCATCATATATCATACAGCAATTCCGGTTGCGTTTGTAATCTCATTACTCATTATCCATTTTTATATCCATTTCTTAATTTATTTATACTTAGCTACTTATGATCAGGTATTATTTGCCTATATTGTGCTTTATATTTTTACTGTCATCTATTCTCTTACATGCAGTTATAGGTATACATTCATATATTCTTTTTTTGGCCATTCTTATATTATTATTATTCCATTTAAAAGGGTATAAGATATAATTTGGAATATATCATTTACCATCCTTCGCACTTGCTATGACACTACCTTATTTTCTCTTTCTTTTCTTTTCTCCCTCCCTTACCTACTTCCTTCCTTCCTCCTCTCCTTCCCCTTCTTCCTTCCCTTACTTCTCCCCTCTTTGGTTTAAATACCATTTGACATTGTATGCATGTTGTGAGTTACTTATTTTATTTTAATTATTAAGGGACAAAGGTATAAATGAAGACTTT